CGGAGTTCGGTACCTGCATGGAGTGATCTGTTGCATCAGAAGGGTTCTCCAGATTTGGGCGTGCTTAAGCCGGGGATTGAGTAAGGGCCTCACACGTAGTTCCGGAAACCCTCTGTTCTTTCTTTCTCGCCATAACTGTAAGACTGTGTTCGCCATTTCCGGAGTTCCAAGGGTAACTTTAATTATCCTCGGACCGTTACCACGGCAATGTGGTGAACAGAGAAGACGACTGATTTAGGTTGTCAAAAAGTCGCTACACTCAAGTAGATTTTGAATGGATCGCCATTCTCTTCGGTGGTTCTGATAACCTTTTGGTTCATTCGGATCGTCCAACTGCGGGACACCATGGATGAGGACGACCCTCTCATTTTCCTCCACTCGTGCTCTCATCGGATCGGACTGATGCTGCATTTGTTCCGTCCACGGCCTATCAGATTCTTATTGGGCAGGTGACTAGAAAGAAGAACGTCCTCCAAGTCCTTATCACCTTTCAGGGTCACCCGGAGCAGTCTGGGTTCCCCAGTATATGGCACGTGAACCTTATGGGGATATGATATTTTGAGGTAAAATTACTTTTTATTTCCGATCACGTTTTTCATTTTAATAAAAGAATAAATTTCGTGTTTTGTGATTTTTAACATGACCACTTCATAAATACCGGAAGTTGATTATTTTGCTTCGACTAAAAAGTGAGATACTAGGAAAGCCCACGAGATTGGCATAAATTTTAGTCGCGAGCTACGTGAAACCAACAACACTATAGCAAAAAATCGGTGAGGATGTTTAACAGTTTATTGATAGCATTTGTTAGCTTATATCAAACAGTATAAAACATTCAGTTTTAACCCATTATTTAGCATTTAGTGCGATAAAGCAACCGGCAGTGCATATGCAGTGAGTGCTGAATGGACATGTGGAGAAAAGCTGTACCATTTGGAGTACGCCGATGACATCGTCTGTCTGTTCGAATGTATGGAGGACGCGCAAAGTGCACTTGATAGATTAACAAGTGCAATGGCCACATTCAGTATGTGCTTTGCAT